TTCTTTGAGATTGTGTGATAGCTAAATAGCTGCATACGCAATTAGAATCTGATGCAAATAAAGTAATCACAGGTTTTGAACGTCCCTTCGGTGGCGACTCGCAGAAGAGAGTGAGTCTTGGTGTAGAGAAATAAACCCCAAGTGGTAGGTGCGAGAGTGACCCAGAGCATGAGTGTCTCTAACATTATAGGAGTCGTGCAACCTGTACAAGAAGAAGAAGAAGAAAAATTATTCGTGACGGGCACAAGCCCTGTACTCAAAGAGCATGAGACGGAGAAGACTAGCTTCTCCGGCGACTATATACGACGATAACTCAGTTTGGAATTTGGACTACTCATGTAGTGGGTGCATTCGCTGATACCACTCGAGACCTTAGTGCTAGGGACTTTCACCCTTCCCTCAATCGTTAATATCCGCCAAAGGGAAAATATGAATCACCTTTGGCTAGCCTAACATGCCTTTACCATCTTGTATATAGCCGCCGTGAGAGATATGGCCTCACAGTCCTCCCTTTCTCGAGTGAGGTAGGTGTCCAGGTTACCCAGACCTTAATTCGGGGAGATGACGACCAAGAGGCGGACCAGAACACCTTCCATCGTTGCCTATTTTTAGAGTGTCGGTTGCACTTTCCGAAATCGTTGCTTCTGCACCCACAGAAAATCTTAAGTCGAAGACACTCGAAAAATGTGCGTCCCAGCATGCCCATTTGTGACCTCTTCACTCGTTCGTCCCACGTCCCAGCTGCCTGTCCTCCCTCAAGATGTGAATCCCCATTAGAGGAACGGTCCCCCATAGACCAAGACCCGAGCTTTGTAGATTATGACTTGAATTCCTCCTCGTGGCTATACATAGCATCGTAAATGTGTAGTGGGAGATGGCCGGTTTTTGATGAGGCAAATGCCCGATTGCAATTGGAGTAACACTATAATCGGTATTTGAGGCGAGGTGGTGTGGTAAGATTGAGGTGGAGAACTCGCGTGAGAATGATAGGTCCGACATTGACGATGAGTCGTCGATTTTAGATGTGCTTGCGAGTGCTTTCGACTTCGATTTGGATGCGATTCTTCTTGGCTATCCCAGATATGCAGAGCATACTGAGCGATTACACCGGCACCACTGGAAGGTGAAGAATACGTCTTTGCCGGCGTGCAAACTGTACAAATAATTGTGATCCTGTGTCATGGCTAGATAGCTGACTACTCATCACATGATGCAGAAAAATGGGCAAAATAGTAGTCTGGACACCAGAGCTACATGTAAGTTGAGTCATCTTTTCTGTACTTTTCTTTGATATTGTGTCATAGCTAGATAGCTGCATACGCAATTAAAATCTGATGCAAAAAAAACATCAGAGCTACCCAAGATGCGCAAACCCGCTTGCACGCCGCTTGCAACACAGGAGAGGACAATTTGATGTCATCCGCCACCGCCATTTCCGGAGCTGGATACCCTCCTGAAACCCGTTGCATGGCTCTTCCTGCGTCATGGGGAAACGCAGCCAGCCAGTCGGTAGTCAAGTCCTCGATCCTACCATCTGATCTCAACGTGCTTAACTTCCACAGAGTGTGCGAGGCGTGTTTTTCTACCCATGATAGTCGACTATTGACTGCGAGACATTAATCTATGTTCACCAGTGCAGCAGTAACACATGGTCACCATCTTTTGTCCTTATTCCACGGATAATTTATTTTGGGAGAAGCTTCTACCTTGAAGCCCTCTTCATGCATACCCAACCAACATATTTCTCTTCACACGACACACTTATCCCCCGTCAAAAAAGTACATGAGTGAGTTTCAAAACCTCTAGGCAGCCCCAGCCACTTCGTCAGCCAGCGCACTATCACTGCGAGTAACTTCATCGGATCTAGCTGGATTTGAAAACTAGCCAGCTCACGACGTGATGTGCGTGCTTGCTCGTCCACCTCGCCTTGTTAACTCATGGTCTTCACCGCCATCAGCAACTTACTTACAAGCCGGAGTTTGTAGACTGGGTAAAATTTGCTCCAGGCATATGGGATGCGCCGGCTTGCATATTCTGTCGCATACACCACAAGGGACAAAGTCGGGATTTTTTGATTTCATTATTTTCGTACAGTGCCTCTGGGATATAAAATGTTAACCTCGAAACTGGGATGTTTAAGGGATTAGCCCTGTAGGCACAGTTGGGCTAGCTCGTAATAGGTTAGTATGTCTCTCCTCCTTACCCCGCTCGGCAAGAAGTATGGTCCAATCGTCTTGTTCTAGCAATTGATTATAGAGACACATTATCAACGACATTTTTGGCTGCACAACCCTTTATCATCAACACCACTATCAATTCATCATCTTTTCCGGCAAACAATGTTTCTCGAAAAGTCTGCTTCAGAAACTAAAGTTTGCAGGCATCTAACTTGCGGTCAATGTATTGAAATAAGAGCATTAAGATGACTTGGCTTGACACTACAACATATATCTGACGAACTTGGCTTCAATTCAAGGCAAGTGCAACTTGCGTGTGCTCGAGAGACTGAGAATCCTATATCCCGCAAAGGAAGCTCACCTAAATTAAGCGCGGAACAAGTTGATGAGCTCGAGGCTTTCGTCCGGGAATCTACTGAAAATCCACAGATGTGCCGTATAGAACTAGCAATGGGGCTCTTCAGCCACTGTGGATGCAGCGAGGGTTTAATTTCTAATGCCCTCAATAAAATAGGTTACAGCAGATGCATTGCTCGGAAGAAGCTTACGTTAAGTGTGGTTAACTTGCACGAAAGATGGATTGTGGTGATAAAGGAAAATGGAGGGTTTACAAAGTATTGGGACGGAGCAGAATTATACAAAACATGAAGTACGCTTTCATTCTAGTTGCGAGCTATACTGAGGGCTTCAATGTAGACTTTCGTAATACAGAGCAATTATTTTTGAAATAGGTGTGTATTTGTAGATAATATCAATTTATTTTTTTTGATTTTAAATTTTAAATGAGGACCATTGTACATTTGTTTTGGTGTCGAAAACCTTCCCCATTAATTCTGACTTTCACGGAATATCATTGGATAGTACCCCTGCTTGGAAACCTAGTCAACGACCTAAACATGGGCCTGCATGAAGGCTAAACCAATCTAATCGATATGTACAGGGACCTAACCCCAGTCATTTTGACGATTGTACTTTTGATATCCTTAAGAGACTGTATCGAGTCGAAGAACAACTAGAATAAGAAAGGCTCTTTCTGCCTCTTGTTTTCTTGACATATTTTCTATGCATACTAATGGACATTTAGGGAATCGTCTCTTGTCGATGATATCATTTGATCCCGATCCAGCCATCAGCACTTCTGCGCTGACGAAACCGCTTAACTCGGAAGCGTGGAAGACCACTGGAGTTGGCTTAGCGTGCTCATGAATGCCAAGAATAGAATTCTCCTGATCCAAGGCGGGAAACATGAGTATAACAACTAAACTATGACGACAGATCTTGGCCCTGACTTGCACCTAGTGGAATCAGCTTCGATGAATGAGTATTTCGTATCTCCTTGCCGCGACCGGAATCACTCTGACATAATCGGGTACCTCCTATTACGTATAGAACAGTTTCCTTCATTGCAATACGATACGGTCTATTACATTCTGACTCAATTATATCACTCAAAGAGACTGAGTACAGCGGATATCATGGTATTTAAATTCTCAACCCAATTCCTCCAAAAGTTAGATTTAATATATTAACTGCGTAGACTAATTCATTTTTTCCCTCCCTGTACATCAACTTCTACTCCTCTTTGTAAGCTCTTGCCATTATCATGCTGAACTTTGGCTTCTTCTGCCGCTTGTTCATTACCCGTCACACTAGCTACTGTACCGGACATGAAACCTTGTAAACGATCCATGGCGCCATTACCAAGGTCTCGGAGCTGGCCTTGCGCTTCTTGTACCTCTCCATCGGCTTTCTGTTGAGAGCCGTTGTCTTGAAGGGACTGTGTGAGTTTGAAATTAGCATTCACTTATATCAAGGCACGGTGCGTGCATGTATACTCGCACGGATCCAATATAGCAATCCTATCGGCAAGAAACATACCTTATTACCCATTAGACTTCCAAGAGCCTCTTTTGCTGCACCAGCTGTTTGTCCCCAACTGCCTTTGGTACGATCTGAATTTGCTACTGATATACCACCATCTGACGAAATTGTCACTGGGCCCCCCTTAGCTACTGTCTGAGAGGCTTCATACTCGTCTTTGGCCTCTTCCTTCTTCTTTTCACCGGATGCCTAAGAGTGTCAAGTCAGTCTTATATGAAGATCAAGCGAGTGCTCACACAGTAAACGTACCTCATCAGTAGCATTGCCCATAACACTTCCAATCGCTGATTGCACCGTCCCAATGGTAGAATTAGCATAGGATTTTAACGTCGACGCACTTTGGTCCGTCATGGTTGTTGTAGAAAAGATGGATTGATTTTTTCTTGGACAGAGCAGAAAAAATGTAGTAAATTGGATGTGGGTTGTTTCCTGGTAGAAAACTCTATGTGGTGTGTATTTGTTAGGAAATACTGGAAATTGTGGCTCTTATATGCCCCTCGATAGACTAGAAAGTGGATCAAAACTCAGGATACTATGACATCAGTAATGCACGGAGTACAAAATCTATTAGCGTGACAGCATTCAGTGGAGTGGGTGAGACACGGGGAGACCGACCAGAGCAGATTTTTGCCAGTAAGCCACGCATAATTGTCGTCCATGAGTGAAGTTTTGGCCAGAAAAAATCATGTTAACAGTGCGCACAGGTATAAATAAATCGACTATAATTGATATCATCCGCATAAACATGACTACCTAGTAAAAACTACACCACTGCCTTAATATAGTAATCCCGTAACTCTTTACCATCTAACTACATCGAGCCCAAAATGTTTGCAGCGCACCACTTGATTAGGAATTAAATTAACCTCTGCCCACGACATCACAACGCCCACTCTGACTCAGCTCATACCAGGTAATTTCCCGCCATGATGAATTCTTTCTTAATGCGTCTTGTATTTCTAATGGCTAGCTGTCAGTCTGAAAACTAGGATGATAAAAAATACGAGATATTCGCGACGGGGAATACTCACTGCTTCGGCTCGCCTTAGATTGACTGGATCAAGGGAATTAGTCGCTCCCATCAATATTTGGCCACCGGCTTTTGCAACACCAATGGCTGGTCGTAGAATAATTGTTGGCGAGTATTTTCCAACCGCCTTCAACGCGCCCACAGCCGTACCACTCTCCATCATTTCACCAGGTATAGCGATAACGGCGTCCCGTGCCGTTATCAGGTCGCGCTGTAGGCTGCTGTAGCCGCCACGGAGACCCTGTAGAACGCCAACAGGTTGATTAGCATAAAGACTTATCTGACTGTGCGGCTCTTCAGAATGATCCATATATTCTCTGTGCATGACATGTTCATCAGTAGACCCTATAATTTCCTCTGCAGTTTGAAGGACAGTCTGAACACCAATAGCAACCTTGGCTCCGAGTTTAATGAGCTCAGTACCTGTGGTCTTAGCAAATGCAACAGCACCTTTTGACATGCTACGCATAACTCGGCCATCTTTTTTGTATTCGCGCATCGGAACAATAATGAGATGCCGGAAGCCACCACTAACATTTACAAGTGATCTAACAGGAGCAAGACCAGCTAAAATTCCAGGAAGCTGATTCCTCTTGACATCTGGCATCCATATATCATTCAGGCACTTTCCAAGCTTTTCGGGTCCTAGAATACCATAGATAATAGTATGTCGAAGTTCGATGTCGGCCTCATCTAGGATTAGGAAGTTCATAAATTCAGTTGTGTGTCCCGATCGAAGACCTGCATAATTGACCCGCTTTGGTTTAAAGTCTAACTTGATTCTAATTGTATTTATCTCAACACGCTGAAAAAAAGTCACCTCACCACCAGACGTCTGAACTGGAGCCGTATCATCCTTAAACTCGAAAAATCTCGTTATGAAGTCCAGTGCATCTTGATCAACATGGAGCCGCAAAGGTAACACTGTCGCTCTCATGACAATTTCGGATGCTGTAAGCTCGGCAATTGGCTTCACGTTTAAGATTTCTAAGTGGATCATATTGGAATTGCTTTCCCTTTCTCCAGCATCTTGCATGTAAGTTGCAAACTTCTTCCACGTTGATGTTGGCAAGTGGTCGAAAATCTCAAAATCATGCACAAAAATTTCTAGAGAGCTTTGTGTCTCATCATCGCTGGGGGAGAACGCAATGAAATTTGCACGAACCCCTTGCAATTCAAATGAAATTTTATGATGCTTACTTCGGTTTAGCTGAAGCCTACTCATCTTCGTGTTTCGAACATTCGATAATCTGTTTGCAGGGCCAGAATATGCTGTAGTCACAATAGATTCCGTATCTAAACTGCTATCGTTTAATTCCTGATTAATTGCTCTAGCTAGTTCACGAGGATCTCTGTTTGCTGAGACACCGATGTATATCGAGTTAAATAAAAAGTCTTTAATGACGCTCTCTTCATCGTCGTTCATATCAGCCTCTGGATTATTATGTCCATTTTGACGCGCCAGTTTTTCTATAACTTTTGACTCTACATCTCGAACTGCTTTCGTGATGACGTCGCGTGTGTGTGGCCAATCATAACCATCAAAAAGGTTCCATATTAGATGAATATCGCGAATAGTTACTTTAATCGGTGATATTCTTACTTTTTCTGTAGCTGATCTTTCATACGCGTTTTTAGCTGAATTCCATATATGGTTATTACCTTTAAAAGCCGCGCCAGTTTCGAAATAGTTTTCCTGAAATTCTAGTTCAGCTTCATCATCATCATCTGTATCACATCTTTCTATAAAACTATTGAGTAGTTCACTATCCTGGCTATCCCTTGTTGTTAGATGAGAAAGGCTTTCAGGAAGCTCCTTGAAACTGAAGGTTTCTCCAATTTTATGGTGAAGATACTGCGACCCAAAACTGAAATCTTCACCCTCCTCAAATTCTACCGCAGGGAGTCCTAGTTCACTGTTTTCGTCGAAGCAAAAATCATCATCAAAATTGTAGTCACCCTCTGCTGTCCCAAACGCGTCTGCTGAAAGGGATGAGAGCAAGTCATCAACAGGTACCACTTTGGTACGATATTTGCTTTCTTCATTAGAGACAACAGTCAATGGAATTAAGCCCTTAACGATATCAATAAGAGTTTTCGTCGAGTCTGCGCAAGACTCAAGGACTATTAAAGCATCACAAACTTCCACGTCTACACTTTGCTCTTCACAGTTTCGTATTCGAAGCTTGGCCTTAGTTGAAGAGATGTAGCCAACAGAGACGTAGCCCATCGCACAGAAATGAGAAACATGATTTATTTTGTCATAGAGGTTTTGATTTCGTATTGGGCTTTCCTCTCTTTGAGTTAAATTTACTACATCGTCTATGATAAGGATAGATACTTTTCCCAGCTCTACTAAAATATCAGCACTGTCGTACCTTGGAAGTATAACGTTTAAATGGGCTTCAGTCATAATAAGCAGCATTTTCGAAGGCGGCTCTAATGGATTTAGACTTAAAACACAATTTCTGAAATCTATATCAATTGCTAATGGTTTAGCAGATTCTCCCGTTGATAATAATCGAGTTCTTTGCAAAGATGATATGGAGCCTATTTCTCTGTTAAAATCTGTTAATGCTGCCAGAGATACAGAAGCGCTGGCCAGAGATTCATGAGATACAAAAGTTTGAATAAACTCGACCAATGCTGTAAGAATAGAGAGGCGATATTCTACGTTTAAATTACGCATCTTGATCTTTATGACTGGCTCCATTTCATTTCCAATAATTCTTGCCATAATGATGGGCATCCTGACACCTAGTTCTGGTGTTATTTGATTTCTCGACTTCTCAATTAGTATTTCAACAGTATTCCGTCTAACTGAAAGATTTCCAATACTGAAAGCGAGGAGTGCTGGAAGGGTAATCTGAGCAACTTCAAGGTCTGAGATTGATAAATCTATGTTGCCCAATACATGGTTAGAGTCAACATGAAAATTAATCTTCTGGATGAAACCTAGTGAAAGTAGCCCGGGACGATCATCATCAGGTAGGTATTTCGCAACTGAGGCTAGCCTTAAAATTTCTTCCCAAACTTCAGGGAGATAATTTAACTCATTTAGTTTTCCGATATCAGTTTTCAGCTCTTCGATAGAAATACGTAATAGTGCACCCTTTCTTCGTTGAAGGAGCAGAGTATCCAAGATTATGTCATCGTCATGGCCATACTTAGTTTTTGATGGAGTTATCAGAGATAATAGGCGATCCAGATCAGAATTTTTGGGTGAAGACAAAAATTCAATCCTTGTGGATGTAATATCTACAGTAATGGCCGGTTCATCGTTTGACTGATGAAGGTGAGGGCCTGATAATTTTATTTTTCGTATCGAAAGACCTATTCCTTCGTCCCTGCTAACAACTTTGATAGTGCTTGTCATAAGGGATAGACTGCATTGAGATCCCTCTAATTCAAGATTAAGCCCTGCAATTCTAATATCTACCTTTTTTTCAGCCAAATCTGATGTAGTTTCAGGCGAATTTGAGCCCTCAAACCTCACACATCGAGCGTTAGCTTTGTCGGCAGCTATAGTTGTGTTTGAAGCTATTGAGGAGCCGAGGTTTAAGACAGTGCTAAGTCCCCCCAACCAGCTGAAAACTTCATCTAGTTTCTGAAGGTTTATCGTGAGTTGAATGGGTAAAGTTTTGATTTCACATCTAAAACTATTAGGTGTTTGAGTTATTTGGGCTGAAATTTGTACGCTAGATGAGGTTTCCAGATCTCGCGTGGAAGGTCGGAATTGACTATCTGTTGTAAACGATAAAATACTTTCTTCCTTGTAGCCAAATAAGAACTTTCTGAGGGTAATTGATAATCGTGTCTCAAGTTCACAGGAATGGTATTTTACATTAAGCCCGTTTAAACGAACCTGCAGAAGAGTATCGGCCATTCTTTGATCTGATTCTCGGTATCCACCGATAGGTGAGATACATCCAAGGTTATCGAGGAAATTGACAAATATCTCATCAGATTTTAGTCTAAATAATACATCTGTCGAACTTTTACCTTGTTTGGAGGATTTTTTTGTAGTATCATACTTGACCATGCTTATCACGTGTTCATAAGCCTTAAGAATTAATCTTCCCACAGAGAAATCAAACTGGATAGAAGTCCTCCCGATTTCTACTTCAATCCCGTCCCTCTGTATTCTAGTATCAGTTTGGGCCTCTTTAGGTACAGGCTTAGATGATTCTTCTTTTGTTTCTGGCTGAGCTTCTAGGTTCATTGAGTTTAGACCAAAGGCACCAGGCATACTTGAAGGTGTAAATCCTGCCGATATATCGAGCGAAGAGTTTGCAGAGGGGCTATCGGGACTGGGTTTGACCCCGTCTGAATTTGTAGGTTGAACGCTTGGCACGTAAATACGGACATACTTGATGTCGATTATTTGTCTTGACAGCTCGGTAGATTCTCCAGCGTCTATCGCGGAAGTATGCAACCCATTTTCCGAGTTTTCAAATTGACCGGAATATTTTCTATTTTGATTTATTTGAGAAGTTTGAGTTGAAGGTGAGAATGCTCTTGCAATACCGTATGCTTCATCTACTAATTGACCTTGGGTAGGAAGTGAAGATTCAAATGAATGTAAAGAATTGTTAGGGGTAATTCCTTCATCTACTTTCATCTGACTAAAACGAGTGATATCAGGTGTTGAGGAAGCGCCACTGATTCTAGGGCTTGGTTCGGGTAGGTTTTCACCTGTTTGATCCCCAGGGCTGATATATGATATGGCGCTCAGGTATAAGCTTTCTGCTTCTTCGTGACTGAATAACTGAGATTTAGTCAGGTCATCTTCATTATAAGATGCATCAGGTCTTTTATTACAGAGAGATGTTATGTTGGAGTCGTTTAAGGAGTCCAAACTATCAGCGTCAGAGTTTAATTTACTTGCTTGGCAACCTAAAAGGTATCCAGGTAAGACTGAATGAGCGTGTGAGATCTGCTGCCGTGATAGTTTCAATAAGGGGTTTGGGTTTAAATTTGGTGTGGATTGCTGAGTTATACATTGACTAGTTTTGAAAGGTTCTTGATATGAGGGGGTATAAAATGGAATCGAAACGTTTACTAATGTTGCACCATCTCTTTCCGTTGGGAGATCATAAGGGAGAGGATGGAGACGTACACCTTGGTCAGTATCAGTATTTAAAGTTTGAGTGTTTAGCACTTGATCAAAATGACCCAAAGTACTCTTTTTCAAGCCCGAATCGTTATTATGCCTGTTTTCTCCTTGGTCAAATTCGTCGTAATTTCTTAATGGTTTATCACGAGTATTATCCAAAAATGGATCTGGGACACAAGAGGGTTGGTGATCTCTCATAGTCTCTGCTAGGTTTTGCAGAGAAGACATTCGTGGTAAGACATTAGAATTTTCCTGGTTAAACGAAGCAGCTTCATCGGATGATTTGAAAATATTACAACTCGGGTCTAGATTTGAATAAGATTGAAATGAAGAGGGGCTTGCCAAGGCAGAAAAAGTATTATCCTCTGATTTCACAAATCCTTGAATTTGAGACAAGCAAATAAGTCTGTTTCCAGGTTTGTTTTTACTTCCATTAGCACCACTGCTCTTATCTTCCTTTCCAAGATTGTGCGTCATACCTTCAACATCAATCTTCATAATTCTCAACCGAATTGTTACAGGGTCAGGTGTTTCGAAAGGAGTTTGTGGTTTTGATCCATCATGCTGAATGTCTAAATTCAAGCTGACATCAATATCTCGTATCCTAATTTGAAGGCGGTCAATCATTCCTTGAAGAAACCGAGCCATAAATTTTGGGAGAGCCATGGGCGCTCCTGCCCATACCGGAGCAATTTCATCGTCACTCAGTGGAGGTAAAGTCCCACAGCTCCGTATATCTGATAGTACAGCAGCTTCTAATTCAAGCTTACGCTCCTCGGACTCTATCTGCAAGAAAGATTGAGCTAGGTTAGTCGCATTGAAAATGTAGCTCTTTTCTGAATAATTTTCGTCACCCAATCCCCTACTTTTTGATAACTTGTTGATATCCTCACGTAGCTGTTTTTTCAATGGTTTTGGTTTCGTTATTTTAGATATGTAAACGTTGTTGCAATTGTCTTCATTTGGGTGTGGTTTTAATTGAGTTTGAATCTCGACGCCCTCTATTTCCACCATTACCGAGCTACTGTAGATATCCACTGGTATTGTAAGGCGAAGTAATTCGATTTTTGCTTTCGAAAACTTGAAGCATTCGGGCAACTGAAGGAATTTCTCGAGTTTCTAGTACATTTCATTATCAGCAGTGACAAGGATTAATATAAAGCTAGAAATAAATATGTACCTTTAATCGAAGCCCAACATTTTTAAACTCAAATACACTATTTTTCCCCCAAGCAATATCTAGATGATCAAGGTCTATGGTCTCAGTGTCAAGAATTTCCAACTGTGAAAGCGCATATTGAATAAGGCGCTTGAGCATAGACGATGCTTGGAAGTATGACTGAAAGTAAGATGTCATGGTAAAAGCAAAATAGTTAATGATCAAGCCAAATCATGTAGAACCTGGAATCCGATGGCTTGTGACTGCGTTTACCTTCTTTCTGTGATTAACGATATTCGTTTTTGATGAAAAGTAGAGTGTACATGATCATGGTCCCAGTCCATACGCAGTATCTCACTTTAGAAGCGTAAACTGGAAAAAAGTTCTGTTGATTAGTTGGGACATCGGAGGTATACAGTGAGGATGAATTGGGCTGCTTGATATGTGGTCACGCGAATACGACGTCAGTTGGTGCATCGCATTCCCAGCCCATTAGCCGCAATCTAGGCGATTGAGGAACATTGGAGACTTGAGCAATAGAAAATTTTCCCATTTAATCATCCTAGGACAATCCTTCTGGAAATGAAGATTACATGTCTAAGCCATCGGAAAAAGCACTAGTTTTGTATGTACTTCAGCTTTGGCGCTAACACTCTTCTTATCGACAGCAAAGTATAGGCATTCAAACCTTAAATCCGTTCCAATGTTTAATCTAGTATTGACACTAGAACTTGGTTAATTTTTTTTTCAAATTTTAGTCAGGCCCTTAAGGGTAGAATTATGTCTCAATTCAGAAACCTGGTATGTATGTTTAGAAAAAGCTTGAAGCCCAACAATCGATTCTTTTCAAGGAGGGAAACGACTCCGTTAACGAATCATTAAACGGCAAACTTTCCATGACATACCTGACCCATGCTGGTTAACAGCTAAATGCAGTCCCAAATGAAGTGTTGCCCAACTTTACATTTGCTAGAAAGCTAAGTTGTAGATTTACTATTCCTTGCGATCCATGGTGAATCCGTTTATCCATAGCCATACTAATGTAGCTCCGTGGTCATATATTGGTTATGTAATGTATCTGTTGTGGACGTTTATCTTTTTAAGAAGGGATGGTATACACTAGTCAAAATTGAAATGTAATGCTAACTCAGATACATTCTTCTCTCGTACTCATTGTTGTTAATTCCCTGTGTCGTACACTATTTCTTCTACATCATGGGTGACTATTCTCAACACCTGTTTGTGGTTCCTAAGAACCTCAAGCTTTCATAGTAGAGTCTGCAGAGACGAGATTGAGTAACAAAGTCCTCACTTCGATTAGTTTCTTAACACATCCCCTTATCACCATTATCATGAAGCTAACCGCCATCAGATTATATTTTAGGGTCGAAGCCCTTCTCATCACCAAACCTTGATCACGGAGGAAAAGCCATCCGATGAGTTTTCGGAGCGTGCCCAGCACCTGACATGGAGATGGCGGATTGGATCAAGTCGGCCCCGACAGTTATAAAGAAGGGAGACATAGATGAATATGCGCACCTTATGTGATCCCGGTATCTAGGCCTCGCCTGGCTAGGGCTGCAGGAATTTTGATACTTTTTCCGGCGCACACAGATTCCATTGCTACCATTTTTTTTTGGGTAGAAGGTTCCGTGGAAAAGGTGGCCGATTCCAAGGGTAAACACTGAGCTGAATGGCTATTCATCAAGGGCATTATATCAATGACCTTTCAAGGAAAAAAAGAGGCAGGAGCACAGTACAAGGTGTGGCCTGGGTCAGAAAGGAGCCTAATGTGCTAGATAGCCTAAGACACAGGTAGGACAATAAGAAACATCACTCATTTACTTTTCTACATCACGTGCAATAAATGGATATTTGTTGACATTTGGTGTGCAAAGATTATGAACGGGCTAGATTACTAAGCAATCTAAGCTATCACGTCTAATAATACTAAACACAATAACTGGATTGAGTGATAGAGAATAAGCCTCATCTCGGTCTTTCTTTCCCTACAAATAAATGGATTCCTAGATCGCATTTAGTTAAACTTCCAATCCAAAAAGATAGTGTTTTTAACGGACTCACTCAAACGCATGATTCTGCCTCTCACTTTCAATATATCGCGTCGTGTCTTGATCGGTACTGAAATGCTAAGTTCAGACTTTAACCCAAAATACTTCTAGTTATACTCTCCTATGTATATTCATCAAATCTGCGTGTCAAACAGTGCAATATGGATCAGCCACCCAGGGCAAACGCGGCACAATTAGCTGCAAGGAATATTAAAAATGCCAGAGGCAAACACCCACGACGTCCTGGGCAAATTCCAAGAGAAAAACCAACGGCACAATGGGCCCAACCTGCAGGTGAATCTGGATTATTCGGCGGGAGTATACAAGCGACTGGCACATTTGATTTTGCGGCACCGAGCAGCTTAAAATTGAATCAACCCTCGATGGGAGGAGTCACAAATTCTTCATCTAATAGCTTGGATAATCCAGATGGTAGATTTTCTGGGGACGACCGCAATCTGAAAAGATTGTTTGGGCAAAGCGCTGCTCCGACCGAACACAATTTTGGAGCAGCAAATGTCCAGAAACAACCGATGGAAACTACTTTTAACTTTCAGTCCGATGTTCAACCAACAAAAATTGGGAGTGATAAAAATAGTACCAATGTGGGCTTCTCTTTTGGCTCCGCACCTCAACCTACACCAAGTTCTGGGAATATCTTTAATTCTGTAGCTCAATCTACCCCAAGTTCTGGGAATATCTTTAATTCTGTACCATCTGGAAACAATGGTAACAGCATCTTTAGCTTCAACAATCTCTCCTCTTCCCAAGTAGCGCAAAACTCTTCATTTCAAACCGAATCTTCGACGCAACATTCGCAATCTAGAACAGCAGCTTTCACCTTTGGTAACAATTCCGATCAAAGTACTGTACCCGCTGGGAAAAACTGTTTTTCATTCGGGGGTCAACAACTAGGTCTTGCCCAGAATCCCATTTTCTCCTCAGGACCAAATACAGTCTCAACAAATATGTTTGGTACTATACAGAATACACAAAATTCAAGCGCGAATTCCAAACCAACCCTTAATATCACACCCTCACTTCCTGGGAGTAGTCTGTTCTCTTCAAATCTCTCTGACATCAAAAAGACGGAAGCTCCTATAACTTCGAATCTCTTTTCTACATCAACGAGTAACCTGTTCGGAAATCAGCAAGAAGCCACAATTCCTCTTGCTGATAATACGTCTAACCAAATATTCGGGACTGTAGGGTGGATTAGTGAAAAGTCCAAAACTACGAATCAGAAACCTATGTCATCGAATTTAATGTTCCAGCAACCTTGTGCCGTCTCTTCAGCAACACCCTCTCACACAAATCTGAAAAATATTTCATCAGAGAGTACCACTCAAAACCCTTCTAGCATCTTTTCTTATCCGAATCTCAAGGATACCAAAGTGTCCGAACCAGATAATCAAGATAGATCAACCGAAATTCCCTCTACAAATCCACCTACAACTCAGAAAGTTGATACACAATTCTCATTTCTCAACCGGCACGAGAAAACCCCCAATTTTTCAGATAAAAGAAATATATTCGGAAGTCCATCAAAAGACCTAGACGGCGCGAAAAACTCAGAAAAGATATCGGTATTCAGTCAGAACACTCGAAAAATTTGGCCACACAACACATCTCACGCTCAAATTGACTCAGGAACAATTGAGAACGCCGACGCACACATGACTACAAAAAACACTGAAATTGCTGAAATACGGGGCACTGTTAGCAGCACTGATGTAGACTCAACACTCTTAAAAGAAACCCCTTGCAAGAAATTTGAGGTAGATTTAGAACCAAGCAATATTTTTATTCGAAGCTCGAATGAAAATTCTATCACTGGTGACAGCAAATCTACACCTCAGAATATATTTGAACAAGCTACTAGTTTGGTAAGTTTAAACCTACAACATAACTATAACTTTATCGATCTGATTATCATTCACAGTCTCCTATCCCTAAAAATGATTCAATTCTTACCTCACCTGTGGGAAAGTCTGTACCTTTTGTGCCTGATGCGTACTCGCCAGTAAAATCACAAGGCATATCTGTAGTGAGCAAGGATTCAAGCAAATCTGCTATTCCAAAGGGAACACAATCGGCGCTCCAAATCTATGATTCTAGGTCTGAACTTAGACTTCAAAACCGGTTTACACCCGATTCAATACCTGAAAATCCATCCTTCAGAAATTTGGCTCTTATATCGCAAATTAAAGATGAAGAGATTGATAAAAAAATACCGCCTGGGACCGATGACGTCTCGAGACAACATTTCTACGCTTCTTATCGCCTCCGTTCCCTGAATCAAGCTATGGCAAAACTGTTTGCTGATTTGCCGATATCTTCTGATCCCCAAACTGCATTAGAGTTTTTTATTGAAGAACGCCGAATCATATTAACAGAATGCTCAAACAAAACTCACTCAAAGCGAAAGTCAAATGTTGAAAGTGATGAAGAGGAAAATCCAAGTAAAAAAAGAAAGCCTAACAATGCAGATGTCTCCGCAAGCTCTCTGGCAATATCAGAACCAGTACCTATTCCTTTCAAGCCCCGAACTAAGCGCAAACTAGCAGAAGTTGAAGAATGTGAAATTAAAGATTCTGGTAAACGAAATAAAGAGTCTGATCAATATGCCCAACCCATTTCGAATAACTTATCCCACACCTCCCACGATAGCTGCACATCTAACCTCAAATCACCTTCTGGTGATGCTTTTCAACAATCAAATTCACTTTATCCACAAATGCATACATTTCCAAGCCCCAACTCAAATTATGAGAAGGAAAATGAAAACTTGAGTAGTCCATCTGATCGAGACATGCGTTCAAATTCCATATCGAAGGAAATCTTGCACAAAACAATTTCAATTGAGAAATCTGCCACAGCGAATTTGAAAGAATCTGAGACAGCAAATATATTTAGAGATATTCTCGAAAATTCATCATCATCCGCCGAACCGAAATCTAACAAGCAAGCTTCAGGGGTATCGTGCAATTCTCAATCTGAACATTCAAGAATATCATATCCCAATCCTTTCAGTATTGTTACTTCGACACCAGGAGAATCTCAAGCTTCTATAAACTACTCAACATCGATAATTCCGAAACAGACTCCGGCAATAAGCTCCTCGGCTAATAACATCGACAACGGTCGCCCCAGGTTTGACCTAGTGCCTACGTCTTCAAACGCCTTTAAGAGTAATCTCGCAATGCCTGTGTCTAGTTTTATAGCCCAAAATTCACAAATTTCTGGCAGAGTTTCAACAGACTTCTTGGCCCAATTTAAACTAAAGGCAAAAGAGAGTGAGGCTCAAGAAATGGAAAAAGATAAAATAGAAGATATGGAATCTGATGAAGATGAGGCAGAATGGGAAGCACGTTGGAAAAAAAAGCGCGACACTCGAAAATTGGAATCTGGGACAAATGACAAGCAAAAGTGTGCTACTTTTGTGCCAGGCAAAGGATTTGTAATTCAAGGCTTAGATGCAACAAATTCTGTAGCGTCCCCTCACACTGAAGATAAACAGTCTTCGGAGAAGTTAAGTACATCTGATCAACCAGAAGTAAAAGACGACTCTACACATGGTATAAATGTGAGCTTAAATTCTTCTCTTAAAGGTTGTGGCTCGACACGCCACGAATACCTTGATAATTCATCCTCACCCAATACCATTAAATTTTCTCAGGAGGAAAGCAAAGTTGATCAGGAATTAATGAAGGCAAGCCCCTTTTGTCAATCAGGTCAGGATGGAATTTTAATTTCGTCGAAATCGAATATAGAAGATAAATCTTACCCTAAGAAGGAAACTAATACTTCCCTCACCAATGAACTCAAGGCTGGAAAAAATTCTGCGAGTATGGAATCGCAGACTTTGCTAGATCAGACTGATTCCAAGGAATCCTCAAACGGAAGTATAATTTCTGCGGCCAAAACCCCCGCAAAAAGCATATTCGAGAGCACATTAGCTACGCCGAACGTTAATACCAACCCTTTTGCTCCAAAGGATGATAACTCTCAGCCTGTATTTAACAAGAAAGCTGTAGGATTCCACAACCCTTTTTCTATCTCTCAAAATGGAGCCTCTCCATCTGACAATACCTGGAAAATAGACAATCCGATTCGATTCGGCTCTAGTCCAGCAGGAACATGTACACCAAATACTAAAAACGAAAGCCCAAGAAGCATAATTCAAACCTCTGCGCCAAGTATTTTCTCACTTCAAAATAAATCAAAGACTGAACCCACATTGTTTTCTAACTCAGTTATTCCCTCCACAAAAAGTTTTGACTCTAAAGATAAGCAAGCACTGGCAGGTAGTTCCGAAACTTCTCGTCCCAGTTTATTTAGCGCACCTACATCAGAAGCTGGCCTTACTGGGGCAGCATTCGTATTTGGACAACCGAGCGGATCATTATCTCTAACTACATCTTTTAACAAACCAACTGAGGCAAACCAAACATCAAATGTTGATACGTCTAATAACGATCACCAAAATAACGATAATGATGATGAAAAACAAGAACAGATTGATCTTACTGTGACCGGACCGGGTGAGGAAAATGAGGAAATACTTCACGAAGTTCGAGTTAAAGCTCTCAAATTTGTGTCTCAAAGTGAAAAAAGCGGGAAAGGTTGGGAAACTAAGGGTATTGGCCCATTGAGAGTCTTAAGACATCAAGAAAGAGGCACATGTCGATTACTTTTACGTGGCGACCCTAGTGGGAAGGTTGTCCTCAACAAAAGTATTCTCGGAAACGTCAACTACGAAAATACCGGTAAGACACTAAAGCTCTTATGTGCATCTGACACCGGCAAAGGACTAGAAACTTGGGTTCTTCAACTCAAGACTGAGGAATATGCGAAGGAGTTGGCAGCGGTATTGATAAAGCACAAGCCTGTGTAGCATTTTGTTATATTTGAAGCTCCAATAAGATGTTCGGTCACGACTAGTTGAAAATCAGTTCTATTCTATGCGTGTTCCGTTAGGTCTATAAATAGGTTGAGGAGACGAGCCTGTAAGATAAGAGAGAAACTTATGAAATTTAGTTGCAAATTGGACAGTCACGAGTGATTGAGTCCTTATTCTCATACTCATCTTGTAAAATGATACTTAGAAAAAGAACCTCAAATACAATCGGAGACTTGGTTATCCGTACCCACATACTTATATATCCACATCAACGTCAGTTATATTAAGCTCATAAATTACTCTAGCCTAGTAGAACCAAATTCCGTTACAATCCAAAGACAGAATTGTTCCCAATCAACTTGCCATTGCCGCAGACGTTGAGCCCTGACTCCATCGCCTAGACTAGGATTTGTTACCCCTTTCAGCCATGCAGTCGCATTTTCATCTTCAAAAGCTGCCCAACGCACGCTGTTTTCTGCAAGACTGGCTAGGCCAGCTAGACCTAGATTATCCCAGCCCTGCAAAGCTTGCCAAAAATCATGTGTCAGGCCAGCAGTGTTTTGGCCTAGAATAGTCGGATCATCATTACTGAGCGAGCAAGCCACGCCGCGGGCGATTAAAGCTGGGAGTGGGTGTGCAGAGATTGAAGCACAGAGACGTAGCACTTCATTGGATATAGGGCAGGATTCGACGAGAATCATACGATCTCGAACCAGGTCGGTGAGTAGAGGATGCTTGTACAGGGAGAATCCGTGACCTATTCGGCGGGTCCCCAAAAGGACTGCATCAAAAAGATTTTGATCAGTGTCAGTACCATCGCCTAAACATTCACCTGCGTGGAAAAAGAATGGTATCTCGACGCCTTCTTGAGCACATTGCTTCTTAAACCAGAAAAGTTCAGGAAGCAAGTCTTTGAGCGGTCGGCCGGCATCTTCCTGACCGACAAGATCGTAACCCGCAATCAGATGGGGATAGGTCATTTTCATGGTAATACAAGCGTCCATGTCCTCCACGACCTTGCGCGTCTCGAGTGACCGAAGTGTGGTCCATATTACGCGTGCTCCCCAGAATCCGGTACCATCCTTCGAAGATTGAAACTTCGCGATTTCCTCGTCCAGCACAATAAACAAGTGATTAAAATCAGAATCTTCCTGTTCTTGGTCTTCTCGGTAATATCGAAAGGTAAAGGCTAGCCTAAAATCAACCCAGAGAACACCGTCAGCCCGTAGAAGTGTCAAGATCTGCCGTATGACTCGACGAAAAATAGGCTCGTAGAATAAAATCGAATCCAATATAACAAATATAGATCTAAACTTTCTCCAGACCGCGTCAACACCTTGCTGGTGCTCAGTAGACTCGGAGGCAGTTATAGAACAACGATCTCTAAGCCAGGCTAAGAAGCCAGAGCGACCATGAAGTGGAAATGAATCTGCCACTTTAGTTACAGGAATGGGGTGATCAGGCACGTAATTAGCACTCCAAATTGATAAATCAGTTTCTAAAAAGATGTCAGTTAGATCAACGATCATGCTATCATCTCATTGATAACTAACCTACACCAACCTTTAAAAATCGAAATTTAATTTGGCTTGTTTCCAGCGATGCAGGGTCTGATAGAGCCACAGTGCTTTGCATGTGCATTCCTGGTGTCGACATAAGAGCCTCGAAGAGAAAATCTAGGTCCACCATAGCGTCAAGATGTGCGTGAAGCAGCGCTCCTTTGGGCATTCTTCTAAGAATCTTCCAGAGTGTCGTGTTTTCCATTTTCTCTTTTGCTTTAATGAACATCATCCCGGGATAAATATTCTCATTGTTATCATCAAGCCTGGAAGACCATATAGTTCTCTGTTCATCTTGGCGAATACGTTCAACTATTTCGCATGCTTCTATTGCAAGAGGTGAGCAAGATTGTCGAAACGATCGATCTATAGTTGATTAGTTTTCGAACAGCGAGAGTAGCCTGCATGAGTACCGCTTCGTTGCTGCTTTTCCTGTTCGATGAGCTCTTCTCGACCAAGGATATATCTATGAATTGCAGGTTCTTCGACAAGAGGGAGTCCTTTTTGGAGCTCGGCCCATTCATCATTGGTAAAGCATGAGGGCGATAAATCCTGTCCTTTTGAGTTTTGCATTTCAAAATGAATTAACTAAGAAAGAACATAGAAACCGCACAGTGCACTTAATGGGTTTTAACACCAAGCTTTCATAGCTGGCCGAGTGAAATTATGGGTCTCCTATATCCACAAATTTCTTTTTCTTACAGGCTGACCTAATTGCACTAATATTCTCACGACACGTCTTATGGGGCAGCATCGCATGTGAGAGTAGTATACTTGAGGAAAGTCCACTTAATCGTATTAAAAATTAACTACGGCCCGAATAAATTATTTTGACAACATATTATAACTTTGACTTGACCGCCTGAGATTTTTTGAATAAATTCCGCAATTTGGTTGCCTTCATTATATCTCCCTCAACCCCTAGTCTACCTGACATAAATAACTTCTGTGGGTCTTCAGTAGCGTTGACTAATTTTCCAAAATCTTCGTCCGACATCTTGAGAGTGACTGAGTGTTATGTTAGTTAGCTGGACTGGTAAGAAACTTCACAAATGTGGCTTAATAGCATAGCTTTGTATGTTACAAAGATCTATCTGAAGAGAAAGAATTATTACCTGTGGGAGATTCTCCAAGTCCTTTCCCCACCTCACCCTTTTTCAGTAGGTCAATATGCCAGCTCTCAGTTTCACCAGCCTTGTTCTTCAGGGTGAAGGCGAAGACCGACTTGGCTTCTTTGATGGCCTTGATTCGGTCAGCCTCTGAGCTCTTGAAAGAGTTATTGATTGCATCAAATGCAGCGGAGGAGGGAAATTTATCTATGAGCTTTGGTTAATAAATTTTCCGGTAAAAATAGAGTGCGATTCTGACCGTTTTTGAGAGTCATCTTCAGTGTAGGTTAAGGTGTTGGGTGAAGAAAGGCAACGACTTTGCTGGTATATGAGACTTTGCGAGAAAGCTACCAGGATGAACATGGGTGAGAGTCTAGCGACGATCTCCACTAACCTAAAGTGTATGAAAATTAGGGAAATCGGGTTTTGTGGGTTCATGACGCGTTGACGTCAAGTATTTAGGTGCTTTTTTGAGCTGAAGCAGCATGTGAACTACTTGCCGAATTTCCATTGCGGTCAGGCCCTTTGCAACTTTGGCCGCATGGAATTCCTGGTTAGCGGGAAATTAGCAATTCTTCGGTCGAGACGTATCCCCTCCTGCAACTACTATTTCCATGACTTTTATCACTTATGTGATTAGATGATGTAATAGGGGTAGTGGAGAAGCGAAGTTGGTGATGGCGGCAGGGTACAACAACCCTTGTTGCTAGAGAATCAGTCTTTTCCTGCTTGTCTCATGCTCATGCTCTCTATTTCTTAATTTAGATTTACGAAACTGACCTAGTATGGAGACGTGACAAAGCAAACGCGGAATAACGCTAACCGGACCCCGTTGAAAAGGTGTTATTTGTCCAATGAGAGAAACGACGCTACAGGGAGAACAAAAATAAAGGCCCTTATCTCGTGATCAGCGCCAGCCCTAATGTCATTATCAGGAACGGAAGGGCGTGAGTAGAGCCAAAACACATTCCATTTTTGTTCCGTCACTAAGATGACTTATCTACGAGATCGCGGAGCATGTAAAATGGAAGGTTTATGTTTCTGGATAGAAGGCTCTTACTCAATGTGGTTATCAGCCAAAAAGATCACCTCGAGATCAATCACTCGGTACGAAGGTATCTCTTTTATAGAGATCCGAAACCCGGTCTCCCAGAAGCAGACGGTGATGAGCGGAAATCATGACCATTAGACCATCGAAGATGTACTATTGCGCGATTATGAGACTTGCAATTCAAAAATCAATTTACCTCACCAGAAAAACAATTAGCCAGTCTATACTTTTTCTTTGCAAGCCTGAGCAATTATTTGACGATTTGACAACCTGAAGAGTTTATTCCATAGTACTACCGCTTCATGTCAGACAGATTTTTTTGGTCTTTAACCTCGGGTTCAAGTTTCGAGGAGTGCAAATGCTAGGCGCGTGAACATATTGTCTTATGGGTCCAAAATGTATTTGGGTCAGAATGACTGGGGTGAAATCCCTATAACTATGAATTTATTTGGGTTGGTCTTCATGGAAGCCTGTATCTAGTTCGTCAACTAGTTATGCAAGCAAGGGTTCTATCCAATGATATTCCGTGAAATTCAAAATTAATGTAGATGATTTTCATCTTTAAAGGAAAGGTGAGTAAGTGAGTTTTAATTGTCCTAAACAGTCTATAACTATGTAAGGACATGTAGGTCTTTTCTGCCTACGGGCCGGGAGTATCTATGCCTCGGGTAGTGTACTCCCTCCTTTGCCTCCCTCACGACTTCTCTCCAGCAGTAATACCTCCACAGGTCTTCATTCGAGTACACACTAAGAGGAGCCGTTATCCCGTCATTACCTCCCCTCTCCAGCCCGCGAAGCGATGGCCATTTGCGGGTGTGTAGCTGCAGGGAAAAGTCCCAAAAACCACTGAGTGCGGGGTTCTCCTATGACGGAGAGGCCGGCCAGCTGGACGCAGCAGACCTGTGTATACCTAAGAGTGTCTCTCAACCTTCCTAGCCTCCTCCTTACTCCTCCCTTGATTCATGCCGCAGGACAAACCGAAGGTCGCGAAAAGATGTTAGAAAAGTCTTGGTCGACAGCGACTGTCGTGAAGGAGCCTAGCCTAGCATCCAAAAGTCGTTACGGACGTGGGGTTGTCGAGTAACTCGTGTATTTCAGATGCCCTCCTTGCTAGTATATTCGGAGGTATAGATTAGTAGGGACGATAATGTAGACGAGTCGAAATCTGCTTTTCTTGAGTGCGGAAGGGTCTTTTACTTTACTTTCGTGGGCTTTTTGTTTGCCCGCCGGTGGGTAGCACATGTTGTGATATAACGAGGGCTTATCTGACTACCGTTGTAGCGTTTGGTACCACATTATCTTACCTCATTCCCAGCATCATTATCATCGTCTTGGTCGTCTTATGTGTTATCGGCAGCGTATCTTTGATGGAGGGGGAGATAACTCAGCTCAAAGTTGATAAGGTGTTACTCAATCCCGGCTCCGCAGACTCTAAAGTAAGAGCTGGAGGTTCGTAGGGGACACTATTGACAGGTGTTGAGAATAGTCCCCCTTAAAGGAAAGGTGTATGGGTCTTCATTTGATTTGTATTTAATATCCTGATCTGGCGCCCTATGGGCCCATGCATGTGGCTATAAACCTATCTATATATTTACATAGGAGGTACCTATCGGTGAAAAGCCCCCAAGCTTTCTGATTTAATTCTTATAGTTTGCAATATATCCTTCAGGAAGCACAGTTATACTATAACGCCGTCGATGTGTACCAATCACGTCCCTTCTATCGACTCCAACCTTATACATAATCCGTCTCGTTCCCTGAGCTGCATTTCGACTGCATTTGTCATGCTGAATTTTTCTATCCAACCATGATTAAGAATCCATCGCGTGATTCTTTTCATATCGTTGGGATTGTTGGTCATTGCTTCAAAGGAGTGATTTCGGGCTTATCTCCAGATTTCTCCGCTACCGATGGACCACTTGGGGCAGGACATGATCATGTGCTTGGGATTTTGTGATTGGTAGTCTCACGAACAACTTGGGTGAGACACCTCAGATCACATATCGCGTGGAGAAAAGTTGAAAGATGATGGAGGCATGTCTGGATAACTCAGGGTTTTTGAGATGTTCCCCTGGGTGGGTATTCACGGATGAGGGTTGACTTGGGGTGAAGAAAAAGCCACCATAACTTCGCAGTGGTACTTGCAAATGAAATCTGAGGCATGAGTGCTCTTCCTTTACGCTGAATCATCTATTCTGTACTTTTCTTTGATATTGTGTCATAGCTAGATAGCTGCATTCGCAGTTAAAATCTAGCGCAAAAAAAACCTTGTATGTCATATCCCGTGCATGAGGCACATAATGGTATTTTTTGTTTTGTTTTGTTCACTTACGTGCTAGGAATAGTGATTCCCGTTGCATTCTTACTGGAGCTTAAGCACGGGTGGAACCGGGCCGGATCAGGTTAACTACCGTAAAGTACAAGAGCCTCGTCCCACTAAATAACCGGACCACCTCAGACTTCACCCAGGTGTTAAATCATATCAGGCCCAACCGTCCAGAGAATCCCCTTTTGACGCGCCGAATCGCAAATTCCCCCTCAGTCTCGGCCACTACGCGCCCGAGCCCTTGACACCTTCGACATCCGTGACTTTTACCTTCGATTCATTCGCAGCCTTGACTCATCTCAGTATCTCCTCATCTCATCCAGGGGTCGTTCTCTTCAGTGGAGGCCTCATCCAGTCGCTCACCGAGGCCTCTTCAGATTGTGTTCCCTCTTGTTCCTTCATGCAGCATCCCTATATCTTTCAGCCGATCTCTTCATCCTAGAAACTTTGTCGAATGTCCACCCCTCCGGCTTTGCCCCGTCACTACCGTACCCATAACCGTGGAGGTCGAAAACGCGACTGAGAGCTCCAGACCGAGGCACCGGTGCCCCAGCCTTTGTCGAGTGCTCTAGTTGATGTGCCGGCGAAATGTCGTACGTGTTTCATCGGTGGCAATTCGTCGCTGGTCGAGTTGTTGGTGCCCCTGGCCGAGGTGAGGACGCATTTAAGGCCGGTATCTCGAGCGTACTTTCACAGTGACTGGCAGTTGCCTAGATTCGGACATCCTCTTGCTGCCTTGTTGGCAACTTGGCTTTTGGAGGTATGGGATTGCTTTGGTAGGTGATGATATAAATGTGGATAGGGCTGCGAGATGAGTTTGGCCGAGAATAATTTTCCAGAGAAAAAGTAAAAAAGATCATGAAGGTGTCGGTTGTTATGATACGAACATCAGACAGGTTATAGCCCGTCTGCGGTTCGTATCTGGGGTGTAGGTGGCTAATTTCATTGAGTTGTGCAGTCGTGAAATCTCTGCAAGTTGGATTTTCGGCCAATAATGAGCCAACACCACTCCTCCCGATCGCCAACTCGACGAAGACTCTCAAATTCACCCTTTGTCGTGACTGAATCTCGGATCTGGGGGAATATTTCACCCCAGGTTCGTAGAGGACACCACTGTCAGGTATTCAGCCATCAACCTCCAGTTCAAGGGCTGTTTGTTTTATTTTACTTTTGGTCCTAGGCTAAAGTTCTTAATCCACATTGGATCAAGGACCGGCGGATCCGACAGGGTTCCCTGTAACTTTTTCTCCAGCCTAAACTCGTTCCAACCCCATTAATCGCTGCCAAAGGTGCAGCTGATAAGACATTAACGTAAAAGTCACGAAAATAAACAACAACTCTGAAAACCAGAAGATTCCTACACATTGGACCCAGTAAATGCGCTACTCACACATTCTCTCGTCCGTCACACCTTCCAGATGACAAATTTGCCCATTCTCCGCTGAGAGCAAAAGATAAGTTAGCAGGCACCTTTGATTCAGCCGGTATCCTGCTATTGGTTAGTAGATGCCCCGAAAGGAGACATCGTCGGGGTTACTGTGTCCTCAAACTTCCTCTTCAGCTTCCAGGGCTCCGAGACCTGTTGCCTCAGCCATCGAGACATCCTTCGCTGCGGCGACGATCGCCTCTTCGGCCTTTTTGGCTACAGCCCTAGCTCGAGCCACTTTTGAGAATTACCCTTGCTCGAGGTGGCGAATCCATGCGAGCTGCTCCTTGGTCACCGGCCCAGACTTTCTGGGTCTGACTTGGCAGTCCCGAGAATCTGATCGGTGGGGCCCCCCCCAGTTGCGACACTTAGTGAGGGCCTTGCACTCGGCTTCCGAGTGCATGTTTAATCCGTAGTTCCAGCAGGCTGGAGCACGGGAGCAACCACGGGTGTCGTGGAAGCCCAAACAGCG